GCTAGATGTGGTGGCACATGCCTGTGGTCCCAGCTACTTGGGAGGCTGAGGCAGAAGTGATACAGCAAGACCCTGTCTACAAGGAAACACTGCCCTGCACCCCAGCCCCTCCTACATGAAAGGAGTATTCAGAAAACAAAGAGCTTTTGGAATTTGAGAACATAATAGCAGAAATGAATAATTCTGTAGAATAATCAGAGGCAGAATTGAAGAAACATCTCAGAAAATAGAGCAAAAGGCAACAAGTTTTTATTTTATAGTTTTTGGTGTGTTTTTTTTTGTTTTTGTTTTTTTTTGTTCTTTGAGGGAGAAAAGACACACAGAGAACCAGCCTAGGAGATCCATTTTCAAACAACAGGAAAACTGGGAAGAGGAGAAGAAGGAAGAGAGGGACCCACAGCAACATCCTTCTAACTTTCCTCAAACTCATGGGCCTAAATTTACCGATTGAAAAGACCCCTGAATTCTCAGCACAATAGCTCATAATAGACCCACACCAAGGCACCATCGTTGTGAAACTTCTAAAACGAAGGGAGAAACTACAGGGAAGAGAAAAACAGGTTAAAAATCACAGAACCTGGAAGGTGAATATCGGACTTCTCCACAGCCATGCTCAAGCATGACCTTCAGAATTCTGAGAGAAAATTAAAACCCACCTGGAATTCCTTGCCCAGTCCAACTTTGACCAAGTGTGTGGGTAAAACAGTTTTTTTTCCCCCCAGATAACAAAGTCATTGAAAATGCGTTTCCCAGAAAGCTACTAGATGTGCCTTACCAAAAATGGAGGAGTAAGCCAAGAAAAAGATGTGGGATGCAAGACGCAGGAGGTTCGAGAAAGGACAAAGGGTTATGTGCCCAGGACATTGGTTCAACGAGATCACAGGCAGAGAGGGCAGCAGGGCCAGGTGTGAGTCGGGGAGAAGGCGCTGACGGAGCCTCTTCCAGGGCGGCAAAGTCGATTCAACGCATGGTATGTCCCGAGTTCCAGAGAGGGGACTCAGGCAGTCGGTAGGTAGTTTTGGATTGAAATATTGGGTTATCAGAAAAGTCATGACACATTTTTGCATAGAAAAATATAGACGAATACATCACGACTTTTCTGACAACCTAATAGTTATAACTGCATGGAAAACTAAGGTGGAATAAGCCCAAGATATATACTTGCTCCAGAGAAATCAAAACATGCAGGAGAGAAAAATTATACTACATGATTTTTAATGTAGTTCCGTTCTGAATCATATTTGCATCATTATAATAATAAAAAACTAAATGTCGGTCGAGCTAAAATGATTCTTTGGAGCACGGGGGGATGGTGAGGGTTATGTGTGTATGGATGGGGTGTCTGTGTGTGTGTATGTGCATATATGGTGCCACCAGGAGGAAAGGTCAGATTTCCATCCTCCGTAAGGGAAGTCAATACATAATACTGAAATGAAAAAGTGAAACGTAGCAATGAAATCATGCCACTTAGCTCAGTGGTGTTAGTAAAATAATCAGCCAAAAGAACTGAGGAAATTGGTGACATCTGGGACTGGGGAATGTTGATAGTTTTCATAATAAACATCTTATAATTATTTAACCCTTTATATGTATGTCTGTATAATTTTGATACGAAGCAGTCCATACTGTCACTTTGTTACACATTTGGAAGTGCACCTTCACGTTTTCTTGGGGTGTTTGCTTTGGCTCAGCTGTGGTGCTGGGCCTTGGGAACACAATGCAGATGAAACCAAACCTGGTTTCATCCCACAAAACTTTCTTTAAAATATTGGAAAGTAAAATTCTACACAAGCTCTGGAAAATAATGAGCCATATTTCATGTTATGTTCGGGTACAAGTATTGTACTTTAATTTTTAGCTAGTGAGACATCTTTATAACCCACGGAAGTTATGACTGGTGGCTCCACTGTGAGTACAGAGGCCCTTGACTCACCGTATTTGCTGTGTATACATTGCACACACTCCCTAGGAGGGAGGTATTGCTGAAGCCCAGAAGGGCCAAGTAAATTGGCTAAATGCTCACGGCGAGAACAAAGAAACAAGTCTTATGGCAGTTTTCTGAAGAACTGAGATTTGAATTTGAGTCTCCCTGATTCAAACTCCATAACCTCCACTGTGACCAATTAAAACGTTCGTTCCGGGGCCGGCAGGTGGCATGGTGGTTAAGGGTGCTGGACTCCCACATGGTCGACTGCGGTTCGAGTCTGGGACCTGGTGACTTGGTTTCTCACTTTCTCTTTCTCTGTCCTTCTCTGGTCAAATTAAAATAAATACATAAATAAAATAATTCTTTTAAAAAACCCCATTCGTTCGTTCCAGCTATTGTAGTATCTGTGATAAACAAGATCAAGTGCATTTTTTTGAGGCAGGGAGCTCATATAAAGATCATCATCAGACAACCTTGACTTCAGGAAATATCATATTTCTTGTCTGAAAAATAGAAAGGGGTAACTCTCAATAAGCATAGGGTATTATTTTTAGTTTCCTTTGTGAGCAGGATTTTAGACAAGTGACTGTCCAGATAAATCAGCAGGTTCCACAGCTAGATAAACTAGAATTCATTTGGCATTTACCTGAATGATGACTTTAGAGCCGTAAAAATGAGACAACAGCGTGTGTGTATGTGTTGGTTGCTTTGTGGATGGCTGCCGAATTTAAAACTGGCCCACTTGTAGTTAAGACCTGACCTCATCTAAGTAGAGTGACTTTATTAATACCTACCCATCTTTTATGTAAGTAATATTTTGGACTATGGTACTTAATTTTTAGAGGGTTGATATAAACTTAAAATGAAATTTGGTTTCATTCTAAGGATATTTACTCCTACTCCAGCCTTTCCCAAATGAGTTGTGCAGAGCATAGGACCACCAAGAAGTATGTTAAATCCAGGGGTGACAACTCACATGTATTTTAAGGACCTGGGACATACTATCCTAATATTGGAAATTTGCAGTGCCCACTAGCATATTAAGAGACTCTTAGATGGTTTTAAACTAAAGAACTGTATTTTACCAGTCTTCGTAATTTTATTTTGAACATGGGTTGCATTTCTTACAGCCAGCTTTCTAGTGTCATGTGGAACAGACTTTGGAAACACTGGACTCCATATTTTTTTCCCTTTTCATAAAGGGAAAAAATATACACTGTAAGTTTTAGGTTCCTTTTAGCTCTCAGATGCTGTGATTTTACAATTTGATTGTTGGTCAGTTTTATATCACTGATTTATAACTAATAGGTATGTAATTGCCAAATATACACATAATCAGTGTCCTGTCTCACCTTTGAAATCAGATCTTTGAGAGTGTAGTTTTAAAGATTTTTATGGGAAGGGAGCTGAGAAGATGATGGTCAAATGTTATGAAAGTTCAGTATATGAGAAGTTCAAGAGCTCTCTATTATAACGTGGTGACTATAGTTGATAACACTTCTCTGTATTCTTAAAAAATGCTTAGAGAGGATTTTAAGTTTTCTTACCACAAAAATGACAGCCGTGTGAGATAACACACATGTAACTAGCTTGATTTAGCTGTTCCACAATGTGCACATATTTCAAGTCATGCATTACACAATAAATAGAATTTTATCAGTCACTTGAAAAATTTTTTAAAATTTTGAATAGATTTGATCATGACTTAACTATCTTACCTGAAACATAAGCATTGTGACTATTCTCTAATAAGTAGTTCCAAAAATTATACATATATGTACATATGAGGGAATCTTCAGAATATTCATGATAAAAGTGTACTATGAAAAAAACTACACATAGATTTCAAGATTTTTGTACACCAAAAATGGTGCACATTTTTCTATGAACTTTTTAGTTTTTAGTGTGCTATAGTGTGCATGCACTCACCAGAGAAATACAGAGAGAGAGAGAAAGAGATTGAACCATGCAGTCAGCTAGGTGGAATCCAGCCCCTTAACCTCCATCCAGCTGCTCGCCCCCATGAACATTTAAGAATCCCCTCATATGTATACATGTATAGGCATGTATATGCACATGTATGTACATGTACACTCACACATGTGTACACACAGTGAATGAATAATTCTCAAGTAGTCCACTGTACTGTAATTTATTGAGAAAGGAGGCTATTTAGTTTGTTTCTAGTTTATTGCAATGAGTGTCCCTACACTAGAATCTTTTAGATGATTATATTCCTATTATAAACTCCTAGAAGTGTTAATTGGGGTCAAGAAACATCTGCATTGTAAAGTTTTGCAAATATCTAGTGCCAAAATGTTGGACCAGCTCACAGCAGGCAACTGCATGGCAGTATCAGTATCCCCACCCCCACTCTGCTGGCAACACAAGTGGATGTTGTTGAACTGGTGTTGCTCTCCCAAAGAAGAAACATGCTATTCATTATCTCAAAAATGCTGCAATTGTGTAGAATGTGTCATTATGTATTTAGTACTGTCCGCTTACTTAATAAAACTGCAAAGTCATTTGGGAACTAGGGAGTCTGTGCCCTTGGGTTACTGTCCATCTGTGGTGGTTACACATGAAATTAATGACAGTAACTTAAAGTTTTTTTTCTTACGAGTCATGATATACACATTTTTTATTTATAAAATAGTTGAAACATTAATATACTTATTTTGGGTGAAATGTTTCTTTCTGTGAAATTTTGCATTAATAGATTCTACCCTAGCAATAAGATTATGGTAGACTTTGTGGAAAAATTATAGAGATAACAGGCTTAAACATGAAGATATTTTTGAAATTTCTATATTTCCTTATCATGGCATTTACTGTCTCTGTTGGGTTCTAAAAAGACTCTCAGGTTCAGCTGTGGTAGTGTGATGCTACTTGGCAGGCTGAAGCCACATGGGAGGCCAAGGTTGGAGTCCTGGTTCACCCTAAAAGCCTGTACTTCCAGCTACTCAGGAGGCTGAGGCAGGGGGATCACAACATAGTGAGACCCTGTCTGAAAAATAAAGTGTGCTATGGAGGAATGTCAGTAACATAACTGAGTCATTCTTTTTGCCTAAAGGAAGAAGACAATGGTCCAATTGTGCCCTTGGACAGAAACGGAAACTTCTGAGCTGCAGCTTCAGTTTCTCTCAAAGCCTGCATTGTTTGTCTTCATCTAATCCAGCTTTGACGGACGTCTGTGACAGTTGCCTATACACGTGCTATAATGAAATAGTAGGAATGACTGAACATTCAGAAGAAACCCAGATTCTATATCCACATCACTGCTGCTAGGATTCCGATTTTTGCACATACTGTTTATTGCTTCTGTGTAGGAGGAATGAAACTAGTTTTCAGATTTGTTATTAATATGAGTATATATCATGTATTAATATTGAGGCAGTGGTCCTTCATTTCCTGTCTCCAGCAGAAAATTCGCTCAGAGACTAGAGTAATTCTTGATAATAAAGTAAGAATTTTGATTAAGAATAGCATAGAGCTTCAAAATGTGAAGATGAAGGATTAGTCAAAATCAAGTCTCATGTTCTTTTACAGCACCCATGCCACAATTACTGTCCGGCTGATTTGTCATGGAAAACATTTTGGAATTAATGCATCAATGTAATACATTCTGTATTACTTTCTTAGTTAAAGGATTTAGTTAAATATATGAATCTTATAGTATTTATTTGACATGTTTGCAGCTGTGATTTTTAGGAATTTGAGAAAAGTATAAGAAATATTTAGGATGAAAAGAAGGTGGGTATAATGTACCAGGAATAGCTTTATTTTCCATGTGTAGAAATATAAATTTAATAGTATTCTATATTAATTTAGTGTTGTATACTTTGTAAAACTTAAAAATATTTTATTCTATGAATTTCATTTTTCAGTATGTGAAGACATTTCTTTCAAAGATGACCATCGATATTTTTGTTTAAATTAATTTTAAGTATGACTGGCAAGCTGAGGCATATGCTTAGCTGCAGTTAGGTGGAATGAGGTAATTTCTGTAAAACAACAGAGTGCCTGCCACAAAGCATGTACTTAATAAATGTTATTTGTTATTGATATAATTGTTGTAAAACTAATGACTTTGATAACACAGTTCCAGTTTGGAGGGATTTTTTGATACAAAATATTTCAGTTAAAATACAAATAATACAGATGGAAAAAGTATTTGTTCAGAGGCTCTGGAAGTGTTGGGTAGAGGTTGTAATAATGGAAGCATAAATATAAATAAAACTCACACCAGATTTCCCTGAAAACAAGCAAAGGTGGTTCATCATGGAGTCGTGCTGGGGAAAGGACCAGAAGCTGTGGGAAAGTGAGGGAAAGTGGGGCGTTGGGAGGGGTCGAGGTCTGCAGTAGCCCTGGGCCACATCAGGGCAGAGAGAGGCCCCCTAGATACTTTTTGCAATTTCTAGTACTTAGAATCAGGAAATGGCAAAGTGTGGCTGCAAAACCGTGACATAAAATTTATACCTTACAGACCAATACTGTTCCAACCAAGCCAAACATTGGCCGCACAGATCACCTTGTTTCCCGTTAACGTCAAGACACTAGATCTGGAGCATTTCGCGAGTGAGACAGTCAGATGACACCCTGTTGCCCCTTTGTAAGGCCTCTGTCCAGGCCCTGGGAGAGGCGGAGGTACCAGCTCTGTTCCGCTGACAGGTTGGTACTGAGCAGCTGGGCACTGCGCTTGGACTTTTTAATAACTTCTTGTGCCTTTTGCAGTCTCCTGCCTCTCTCCCTGGAACATATCAAATAAACATAACAGCCACAAAAATGATTTCCAATTACTTTCAGAGTGATACTTGGTTTCCCGTATTTCATCCTTCATACTGTGTTTTTATTTTTTAATTTAAGCAATAAAATTTATTTATATTTGCTGAGTCAAAAGACAGAAATGGATTACTTGGTACAGATCAAAATGTCCATTGCTGAAATTATGTGGAGGCTTAATTTTTTTTTAAGTTGCCAGAGAGTGAGTGTGCTTGCTAGAGAAAGACAGAGAAAGAGAGGGGAAGAGGCCTTCCCCCCACTCCGCCCCAGTGAGGCATGGTCTTGCTGCATTCTTATCCTTCATATCTCTATCCTTTCTAGATCTGGACACACTTACATGTGCTTCGCATGTTTTTCAAGCCACTGGGGCCAGGGATCTGGATCCCTTAACCACTAGGCCACAGAGTTGGCTCAGAGGCTTAATATTGTTTAATGGGAAAACCCCTTTCATTCCACAGTTATGTACCTCAGATTCAGAAAAGGAATACTGCTTATAGTGGTGCTTTTGTAGAAATGAATTTGAAATAGTATTTTGTCAATGAAAGTGCAAAGGGACTACAGTCTTACCTACTTGACAGTGGATGGGAAAGAAAAACAAAAGCTATGTGGTAGAACACAAAATCAGAGGAGTCTCCAAAGCAAAGAGGAGATGGAAATGAATTATAGATGATGAATGACAAATTTTACAGGTCTTGAAATGTAATTTAGGGTGGGATTTGTTTATAGAACATAGTAAAAATGGGAAAATGAGGTGTCTTTTCACATAGTTACACACACATAAGTACTTCTGATGGGAATTAATATACCTGATGGTGTGTAAAATAATGTTCTCAAAAGATTCACCGATTAACGGGAACCAGCAGTTAGCGTAATGGCTATGTCACTGGACTCCCACGTAGTTGACCACGGTTCGTGTCCTGGACCCTGTGGCTTAAAACTCACGCCAGGCGTGTGTGCGTGCGTGCCCAAGATCCCGAGAGGAGAATGGAGGAGAAGGGATTGTGGCGTGACCATCCCCCCTTGGGGGTGATTTCTTGCTTTCTGTCTCTATGTCTCTCTCTGTCTGGCGAGCGCACACGCCCTATAGCAAAAAAACTCTCAAAAACAAACAAACAGAAAAAACAAGAAAAGATCACTGATTAAGATAATAGAGGCCCAGCAGGTGACATAGTGAGTGGTTAGAGTGCTGGACTTCCATGTGGCCAACTGCAGCTGGAGTGCTATACCTGATGACTTGAAACTCACGCTGGGCACATGTGTGTGCATGCCCAAAATCACAGGAGGAACTCCGGAGGAATGGTCATGCCACAATCCCTTCTCCTCCATTCTACTCTTGGGATTTTAGGCACACATGCACACACATCCAGTGTGGGTTTCAAGCTGCCAGGTCTGGGACTTGAACCATGATTAACTACGTGGGAATCCATCACCTTAACCAGTATGTCACCTGCTGACCTGAGTTTTTGTTTTTGTTTTTTAACAGAAGAATTTTATTTTTATTTTTAAGTTTTTTCAATTTAATTTTTAAAATTTTGCAGTCAATCATTGTATATGATTATAGCACACAAAATGAATTTCCCCAACCAGAATGTACTGTATATTGGCTCAATCAAAGATTGAATATTTCTTTTCTAATAAAGGCATTCACAGTTATAAATTGTCCTCTAAGCATTGCTTTAGCTGCATCCCATGTATTCTGTTATGCTGTTTTCATTTCTGTTCATCTCAAAGTACGTTCTAATTCGCTTTGTGATTTCTTGTTGACCCAATGGTTTTCTAGGAGTGTTTGGTTTAACTTCCACATATTTATGAATTTTAAAATTTCTTTTACTGGTTTACGGTTTGTCGCCATTGTGGCCAGAAAATTTACTTTATATAATCTATGTCCTTTTCAATTTATTGAGGCTTTTTTATGGCCTGGTATATAGTTTATCCTAGTCTAGGGGATGTTCCATGAGCACTTAAGAAAACATATGTTCTGCAATTATTAGGGGATGTGTTCCAGAGATGTCTGTCAACACTGTAGTGTTGTTCAAGTCTTCTATTTCCTTAGGGATATTTTGTCTTCTTCTATGATTGAAAGTAGCATATTGAAAGCTCTATTATTGCTGAATTATCTATTTCTACTTTCAGTTCTATCAGTTTTCTCTTCATGCATTTTTGGGTCTCTGCTTTAGGTATATATGTATGTTTATAATTGCTACATTGTTTTGACAGTTTTTAAAAATTATTATATTCTTTTTTATCTCCAGCAACATTTTTCACTTTAATATAAAATATGTCAGTTATTGGTATAGTCATTTCACCTTTCTTATGGTGGCTGTTTATATTTTTCATCCTTTTATTTTTAACTTATGTATATTTTTTAATCTAAAGTGTGTCTCCTCTAGACAGTTTATACTTGGATCTTACTTTATTTTTTATTTAATCTGACAATCTGTCTACCTTTTGGTTAGATCATTTAACCTATTCATATTTAATGTTACTGTTGACATGACTAGATTTATTTATGTCAATTTTTAAAATGTTTTCTACATGTCTCATGTCTTTTTGTTGTTCCTGCTGTTTCTTTATTCTTCCTTTATTGGTTTTCTTTATAGTGAGTGAGTAGTATATTTAACTCACTTTAAATATTTTTCTTCTTTTTTTTAAAATTATTTTTTCTTGGTGGTTGCTATAAGGCTCCATAGTGTGTTAATTTATCAGAATCTTCTTCAGATTTATACAAGCTTGATTTTAGTGAGCTATTTTGTTCTTCCTAAATATGTCCTATCCCTCTTTTTCTCTTTTTGAGCTATTTTTGTTGTACCTACTATATCAATATATGCTACAAGCCCAATATTATGTTAGTTATTGCTTCACATATTCATATATATTGGGTTGTTGAAAACATCATGACATATTTTTTCTATGTAAAAATGTTTCTTGACTTTTCTGACAACCCAATATATTAAGAAGCTGAGCAAAGAAATGAAAGCAAGTATATACTTCCAGTTTCTTATAGTATCCTTATTTATCATTTCTGGTTATTTTCATTTGGTTGTGTGGATTGAAGATACCATCTGGTGTCATTTCTTTTAGTCCAGTATTGCTTTGTTCTCATCTTTTATACTGTTTTTTAGTAAAATACTTCACATTTTCTTTATGTTTTAGGCATAACAGTACAATTGTATACTATTATTCTATACATTGGTTTCATATTCAAGAACTTCCTTTATTATTTCTTACAAGAAAAGTCTTTCAGTAGCAGATTTTCTTAGTTTTTGTTTATATGGACTGTCTTTATTTCATCTTTATTTGTGAAAGATAGTTCTACCGTGTATAAAGTTCTTGGTTAACCATTTTATTCTTTCAGCATTTTGAATATGACAAATCACTGCCTCTGGCCTTCACTGTTTCCAGTGAGGTGTCAGCTTTTAGAATAAATAGGAATCCCCTTTACATGACAGGCCATTTTTCTGTTCCTACTTTCAAAATTTTCTTTTCCCTAGCACTTGTCACTCTAATGCATCTGAGTGAGAATCTGTGTTTATCTTACTTGGAATTTGTTGAGTTCCTTGGAAACATAGATTAATGCTTTTTCATCCAATTTGAGAAGTTATTGGGCTATTATTCTTTGAACCTTTTTTTCTTCTCTTTTTCTGGTACTTCCTTTATGTACGTATTAATATACTTAATGAAATCACATATTTCTCTGAGTCTTTATGTTCATTTCTGCCCCATCCTCTCTTGAACCACTGGAGCTTGATTTTGCTGTTTGTTCAGTGACTACTAGGCTATGTTATTTTAATCAACTCTCTGCCCTACAATGTGGTTTCTTAGTGTGCAGCCATGGACATGTGCACACTCACCCTGGGATGACAGTGGTTGCACTGAGTTCTTTTTGACTGTTTCCTTGACTTTTCAGCCAAGCTGTTTGCCTCCATTGATACCACACCCGCTAGGGTCCATGGATGGCTAGCTTACTGCTCTGTCTTGGTCGGCGGTGCTCTAGGGCTTCAGTTGCTCCACAATTGATCAATTAAATTTAGATCCTTTTGCAGGGGTAGGTTTTATTTTTGTTTAAAAATTCCTTTTTAAAAAATTGCCAGAGGTATGTGTGTTCACCAGAGAGACAGAAGGAGAGGGAAAAAGCAAACCGTAATGGAACATGGTCATAGCAAATACCTTTTCCTCCATTATGTAATGATTTGGGGCACACATGTACACATGCCAAACATGTTTTATTCAGCTGCTTTGGCAAGGACTTCAACCACACAGTCAGCCATATGGGATCCGACTACCTTAACCACTAGGCCACAAGCCATCCTACAGGGGTAGTTTTGAGGCCAGTTTTTAGTGTTCTTACTTGTCTCTTTCCTTGGTTCACTTTGATAAGCCAGCAGGCCTTTAACTTGTCCTCATATAGCTAATAGCCTCCACTGAATTGTTTGCCATAAAGATCCCCATCATTTTTCAGAGTATGTCTAGGCTTGACTCTCCACATATCCATTTACTAATAAGGTCAGTATTTCTGAGTAGAGCTTGGTGCCCTTTGTTCTTATCAACTCTCTTTTGTCCTGGGCCAGTCTTTGAGCTGCAGCCCCTGAGCGGTGGTTAGATGCCAGACTTGCTTCACATGGAGTGACATTCCTCTTTTTGTATTGGGCACTCAGCACTGGTTTCTGTGGCTTGTCTCTCCCAGCATGCAGCCTCCAGTAGATGAGTAAGTTGGAGCAGTGGGGCCCACGACTTCCTGGCTGTGATGCTTGGACATTTAGACTCTGCAGCCCTTTGAGGATCCCTTGACTGGGAGATGTGAGTGGGAATCCTCTCTTAGTCATAACCTTTAGGTGGAAGTTAAATCATGGTATGCTGGGGGTGGGGGAGCAGGGATTGGGTTTGTGGCACAAATTTCAAATGAGATATTGTCATTGTTCTTACTGAGATTTAGTATATTTTTAAAAATAACCTTTTCTTTTTCCCATTGCTGTATTCTTTTAGGACAGTTTTCATACACTTTTTTTTTTTTTTTTTTTTTTTTTATCATTTCCGCCAGCTCTTATTTCGTTGAGGAGCAAGTCTGTGGGTTCTCCTTATGCCTCCATCCTTCATGTAATTCTCTGTTATTTAAAATAGTACTGTAGGGCCAGCTGGTGGTGTGACTTGAGTCCTGCATCCAGTGGCTTGGGAGACTGGGTACACCAGGTGTGTGTGTGTGTGTGTGTGTG